AAACTGTAAGATTATTAGGAACCACGGAAATTTATTTAACACTAGTTATGTGTATGGCCTTGCACTAAAGACCATTAAGTGATTTGCTATCTACATTGGTAGAAAAATAAAACAAGGGAATTAATTAAATACCTTGAATAGGAGCTAAAGGAAACAAAAAGGAAAATGATAATAATAATATTGAAAATAAATTTAATGCTCATTCATTCTAAGTATCAATTACTATGAAACTGTTTACTTTAGGTAAAAGTAACCTCTCTTTCAGAGAAGTGTTTGTCCTAACAGTGAAAAGCATGACATTAAAGTTATTTATATGTCAACTATAAGTTGGTTAATTATTAAGGATAATTTTACATTACTATATGTAATTTCATTCAAATATTTTAGCATTTCTTTTCTTTTGATATTGCATATCTTGAAGCTGAATAAGAAATATTTCTAAGTCCATTCAATAGTAAGGTGAATGTTGTTTTATTTTATGATGATGATGTTTATTATACTTTTTATTCAAAACTAAGACATTTTTATTATAGAAAATGTAGAAGCTAATAATTAATAAAGAGGTAAAAACAGAATCATTACCGATATCACCAACCAGGGAGAGCCATTTTAGAGAATTGGGATATATCCTCCCCGAATTTTTCTATGAATATATGTGGCTTTTTTGATGTTATTGTTTTATAAAAATGAGATCACTCTATAATCCGTTCATCCCACTGAACATTATATCATGAACATAATCACATATTCTTCTGTATTATTTTAACAGCCTCATAGTATTTCATCATATGATGTATCAAAATTTATTAAGCCAATCCCTCAGTACATCAATTAGATTATATCCAATTATTTGTTATTATAAATGAGCTTCCGCGAACATCTTTGTGGCTGGATTTTTGCCAAACAGTCTTATTAGACTTTGTCTAAAATGCCAGGACCATTAGTTCTTAAGCTTCACTATGTACAATAATCATACTGGGCACTTATTCAGACTCTCAAGCTCTAATAGAGATTCTGGTTAGGCAGATCTGGGATAGGACCTGGGAGTCTGAATTTTAGCAAGCACCCTCTGTGATTCTTATGTAGAGGGTCTGAGCATCACATCTTGAGAAATAATGGCTTGGAGACATTAGAAATACTATCTTCTCCTTTATCTCCTTATAAATATGCCATTTTCTAGCAATAACACAAGATACATATTGTTCTGATAGTTAGTTTTAAATTTCTTTCCAAAATAAAGGCACTAACCTTCTATCTGAGAAAGTTTTGCTATTTATTTATTTTTTTCTTTAGACAGAGTCTCACTTTGTTGCTTTGGCTAGAGTGCCGTGGTGTCAACCTAGCTCACAGCAACCTCAAACTCCTAGACTCAAACAATCCTCCTGCCTCAGCCTCCCGAGTAGCTGGGACTACAGGCATGCACCACCATGCCTGGGTAATTTTTTCTATATATTTTAGTTGGCCAATTAGTTTTTTTCTATTTTTAGTAGAGATGGGGTTTACTCTTGCTCAGACTGGTTTCGAACTCCTGACCTTGAACAATCCGCCCACCTCGGCATCCCAGAGTGAGCCCCTGCGGCCGGCCAAGTTTTTCTATTTATTTCTGAAGCATAATTGATGCACATTAATCTCGTATGTGAAAAAGCCACTTATAATGTTTTCAAATGGAAAATGTTATGATACAGACATCTGCTTTATTGCTTTTATTATGAAGATAGAAATAATTATAGAAAGTTTAGGTTTAAACCGACAATATATGAGCATGAACATAAACTTTATTTTTAATAGAGGCAGTTCTTTCAAAAGAAGTTAGCTCTTTAGGCGGTTTTATCAAAAAGAAAATGTCACAAACATTAAGCCATTCATCAGATAATCTGGGTTATATAAAGCATATTTGCAATTGCAATGCTAACACCCAGAGTGGGCAGCTAAACACTTACAAAAAGATGTTAACTTTGGCCAGCTACATTCAGTCCTACTAAAGCTTTGCTAAATTCATCCTTTGTTCTTCTTTTCTATGTTCATCCTGAAGAAAAGAATATACACACATAAGTTAGTAACTTACTTTTAAGCTATTAGCAATCCAAGAGTGTGGGTTAATTTTGCAGTTCTGTCCTTAGATGAACTTCGTAAGTATACAGAGACTCACTTTCCCAATGTAAAAGCTAAGACTGTTACATTGTGTGTATGTCTTCTCTTTTTTTAATATATTTGCTATCTCACAGAAACATTGCTTTGCCATAGGTTGTTAAAAATCAGAGTATTTCAGAACTGAAAGTGGTCTTAAGGTTTATTTTGTATAACCTCTTGATTTTAATGCCTAAGGAGACTAAAGCCCAACAAGGTTAAGTGACTTTATAAGACAACATAAGTAATTAGTGGCAATGTAGGGCCTAGAATTTCTATGACCTTATTTAATCAAAGATTATTATTAACTTCTAATGTTTATGTAGGGCTGATATGATCTCAGTTTTGTTAATTTTTTTTAAAAAAATGAAAGCATGAGGTATAATGAATTATGGTCAATTAGTGTGTGTTCTATTCTTTTCTAGTACTGTGCACCCTGCCACAAACTATACTTGTTAAGGCAATACAACCTAGTGGTTATTAGCTCCAGCTTTAACTTAAAAGAGATTTGGGTTTGGATCCTGACTTGTAGGGTGATCAACCATCCTGGTTTGCTTGAGACTGTGAGGTTTCCCCAAACACAGGACTTCTAGTGCTAAAAATCAAAAAGTGTCAGGCAAACTAAAATGGTTTGTCATCCTACCAGCCATGTAGCTATATGGCCAAAGCATGCTATTTTATAGGTCTCTGTTGTTTTTTTTTTCTTAATGGATGAAATGAGAAAAGTAAAAGAAGGTAACTCATAGGATTTTAGTAAAAAATAAATGAGGTGTTATATGTAAAACATAGCACCACATCATAAGGATTCAATAAATATTAGACATTTTTTTATTACTGATGCTGTTTTATAAAGTAAGTATATTCCTCAAAACATAAATTCTTGGAATCTAGATCTTCAGATCTAGATTTGAAATAAATAAGCTGTGTTTTAAGCTTTGATCTCTTATTTACTTTTGAGGTGCCCTTCTATTTTCCTGTTTGTCCATAAAATTAGATAATACAACCCAAGGTTGACTAGAGTCCACCAGTGTACATCCTTTCACATTTCTCAAGATATAAATCAGGAAGAGACAAACTTTCAATTTGGAAACCAATATGGAGAATGAGCTTCAAAGGCAGCATAGTGCTATGGAAAGAAAAAGAGAACTAGCCTAGATTATAATAATAGTTGCCATTTGGTTGAGTGCGAACTTTGTGCCAGATATTGGTGCTCCAGATACTTCATATTAGGTCCAGACAATGATCCTGAAAGGTAAACATTATTACATCAATTTTCAGATGCAGAAACAACCTCAGTGAGCCAAAGTTATTTGACCAAAGCTAGCAGTACAAAAAGGAGTACAAAAAAGATTCTAAACTAGGTCTAGGTGCTCCTAAATCTATGCAGTTTTAACTTATAACCAACAAGCTAATTTGAGGAAATGTGCCTTTGCTCACTGGGCTAGTTTCTTTACCCATAAAACTCAGAAGAGAAGGAAATTATCATTTATGATTGCTTATTACATTGCAGGTAATGAGCTATGAACATCATATGTATGGTCTCATTTAATATGTTAATATTAGTCCCATTTTTATAATGAAGAGACAGAAGCCTTAGAGAGGTTAAGTAACACTAGGAACACAGTGAAGAATGAAGTGGCAACACAAGGATTCAAAAACCCAGCACTTTATTCAAGCATGTTATAACATTTAGTGGTACTATAATTCTGAGTATATGGATATAATAAATGTTACCACAGTAGGCTATCCAGCTTCTTGGCAATAATTATTGCTCATGTAATAGTATATTTTTCTCAACTAGAATCAAAATATTAAATTTTCTACTTTGTTCTATAATTGGTTTGCCTTTGCATGTGGACAACATGGATCAAATTTGCAAAATCCAGCTGTGATGTAAATATAATTTTACTTGGTACTCTTTTCATGTATTTTTTTAATCCACCTCATAGAGTCTTATAAAAATTTCCAAGAGAATATCTGAGTAACATGTGACATATGAAAACATATATTATAAATATGGTATTAAGTGTCAAGAAAAAATTGGATTCATTTTATTCCTCTCTTTTCATAGGCATGTATGTGAGGGGAAAAACCCTATACAGATATATAGTCATGCACTGCATAATGACATTCCAGTCAACTATGGACCATACATACTACAGTGGTCCCATTGATTATAATACTGTATTTTTTCTTTTCCTTTTTTTTTTTTTGGTTTTCCAATTTTTTGTTTTTTTTTTCGGTTTGCTTCCGTTTTGTGGACCGTTATTTTGTTTTCCGGTTTTTTGTTTTGGGGGCGTTGTTCCATTGGCTTGCGGGTTGTTTTTTTGTTGGGTTTTCCCTTTTGGTTTTCCTTAGTTCCCTTTAGGATATTTGCATGATGAAATCGCCTAACGGCACATTTCTCAGGATGGATCCTAGAGAAATGCGTTATGTGTTATGTGTTGTTGTTACACAACACATAACTGTATATATAGCCTGACACGTGCATATGCCATGATATACATTAAAATGAATTTTTTGCAATCCATTTCATAGAAAGTAAAAAAAAAACACCCCAATTTATCCTTGATTTTATAGAATTTATGCACAAAACTTGTAGATTCTAAAATTACTGAAGATGTTAGTTAACTGTTATAACCAAGCCATATCTTGTGAATGAATTTACTATTTTAAAAATAAATTTAGATGTTGGTTATGAGTTCTCGTCTTTTCACAAGATATTATTCTGCTACTGTTGTTGCTTCCTGGTTAGCATTTTCCATGTATAAATTTCACTTAATTTCTTTAGCAGAAAAGTATAAAGCCATTATGAAATGATAAATACTGGGACTCTTGTTGATTACATGTACTTTCTTGAACTTTTGCCTTAGGCCTCTGAGGAAACACTACACTCCAGTAATGAAGAGGAAGACCCTTTCCGAGGAATGGAACCCTACCTTGTACGGAGACTTTCGTGCCGAAATATTCAGCTTCCCCCTCTTGCCTTCAGACAGTTGGAACAAGCTGACCTGAAAAGTGAATCAGAGAACATTCAAAGACCGACCAGCCTCCCCCTGAAGATCCTGCCTCTGATTGCTATCACTTCTGCAGACTCCAGTGGGTGAGTGTCTTCGGGTGTCATTTCCCCATTTTATGTTTTTAGATGGTGATTGTTATCTGTGACCTTTTCAGTTTTTGTGGCTCATTGCTTGATTTGAGTGGGAAGATAATGGGGTTTCTAGAGTCAAAAAAAGGATGGTTTTTTCTTAGGTAACATCTCTATCTCTGCAGGAGAAGACATTTTAGTCAAATCGTTTGGATAGGAAAAGTTGAAAATGTGTTGATGAATGCTAATGAGGACAATTGTACTTGGCAAATTAATATCGGCCAGATGTGATTTAATAAAAAATTTTTAACAAATGAAAATTAATGGACAAATTACCATGTAACAGGGATACATACCTGGAAACAAAAGGCAATGTTCATTGATGCACAATGAATTTAGAATCAAGGGTAGATTGTATTGTAATTAGAATCCAAATAAATATGCAATTATATTCATGAGCCTAGTAATTTGGCCTTTGACACTTTGGGGTGTTGCTTACCAGAATACTGTTTAAGCTCCCAGGATAAGGTGATTTTATTTTGCATTAGTACTTATAAAAGAATCAACCACAACTGTGTCCCATCATGGCCAGATGCACTGTTAAGCGGCTTGGATAGAAAGGAAAGAGGGTAATGCCAGTGGCTCATACACAGACAGACTCTTGAGCATTTGCTATGGCTACAAGAACAAAACACTATGCTACAAATGTGATTCTTCCTCATTCTCTGTCAAGTAAACGGTGTCTCTAGGGAAAGTACCTTTAGGATTTTGCTAAAAGTTGTTAGGAAAGTTGTGCTCAGAGGAAATTTGTTTAGTAACTTAACTCTAAGACATTAATTTAGCCATTTGAATTGTTCCCGACCAGTCCAAGGGACCTGTGTTATTAAAAGGCACAATGAAATTACTACTAGGTAAATAGGAAGACAACAAATGCTTACCTTGAAGCAAAGAGAAGACGAAATATGTATTTGTTGTTGTTGTTGTTGTTGTTAAGCCATGTGTTTGCCTACAAAAGAAGAATGTGTATATGTTGATCAAACTCACTGAGGCAGGTGGGAATTTAGTAGGACAACTTGACCTGTACATTTCTTAAAAAAATGTTGACCCCCTAAAACTATTTCCCCTCTCTTTGAGATCAACATTGCTGCTGTTCATCTGTATAGGGGGCAGAATTCACAGATAACAGGTGTGTCTCTGGTTCTCAAGACCATTCCTAGGTTTACTAGTTTGCTGGGAGAGTTCCAAGAACTCAGCAAATAGTAATATTCATAGCTATGATTTATTATAGCAAAAGGATTCAAAACAAAATCAGCAAAGGGAAAGACACATGGGGCGAAATCTAGAGAAAACCAGACACAAGCTTCCGAGAGTCACCTCTGCAAGTGGACTAAGACAGGATGGATTTAATTCCTCCAGTAATGAGTTGTGACAACATGTGTGAAATGTGTTTACCAGGGATGCTTTCTACTAGGGAAGCCTATTAAAGACTCAGTGCCCTAGCGCTTTTATTGAGGGCTGGTTACTTAAGTGTCCTCTTCCTAGGGTGTACTCAAATTCCAGACTTCTAGAAGGAAAGTAGGTTTTAAGCATACACCACATTGTTTGCAGAAACAGTTTTAGGCACCTTGAGCCACTCTTACCATTTAAGGGATGGTGGGACACCTTCTGAAATCCAAGTCCTCAGATGCTATCTAAGGGCCAGCCTTTCAAATAGACTGTTTTAAATTTAATAGACACAGGCCTGATTAACTCTTTTCTGTATACTAAGTTCATCTTAGAATCATAATCTTCCTTTCTTCACATTTGAGGAAGAAGAGATTATAATTAAAATTAAAATATACTAATTCTGGACCTTACTATAATCGATTAACTTTGGTATCTGAAAATTTGGTAGGTAAACAAGATTTCTCATTCCAAGCTGGTGTTATACCACATGACCTTAAAAGAAAATGATGCAGAATATTTAATATGTCTTGGTGTAGTTGTACAATGTGTTTAATTAAAAATCTCAGGTAAAAACTAAGCTTATTTAATTGAATTTGAATGTGTTCCTAAAAACAGTCTTCAAGTGCCAAGGAACTTCAAGGTTCAGAATTGTCTGTATCATAGAAGTTGGTTTAAAATTTGTTTCTTTTCCAAAACAGAAATCTAAGAATTAAGTGCAGTTGACCCTCTAATAGCACAGGTTTGAACTGTGCAGGTCCACTTATATGAGGATTGTTTTTAGCCAAACATGGATCAAAAATACAGTATTTAAGGGAGCAAAAGTTGCACGTGGGGAGGGGCTGACTTTTCCTGTAGGCTGACAGGTTCTGCTTAGCCCACTGTGGGCCTTGTGTATGTGCAGACTTTTGTATACATGGAGGGTCCTGGAACCAATTCCCTGAGTATAACAAGGGAATATTGTATAAGCAATATTGTGTTTGCTATTTATAAATTTACTCAATATTATGAAGGAAGATAATTCATTTTTTTTTTGAGAGATGAAACAAGTGTGACTTTTTTCTACCAAAAATGCAGCTAAGAAACAAGGGATGAGCATGGCCAATCAATAAGAAACGATGACTAAGGATGTATTACAGGCATTCTTATTACCTTAGGAAGCAAATATAATTTTGAATATTGAATATTGAAAAATAGAAAATTCAGGAGTATAATTTTCTGGAATGTCTAATCTTTTGGAGGAGAAATAGAAGGTAAAGTTAGTGGTTACATTCTGTACCCATTTCAGTTAACCAAGAAACCCAGATTCCTTCACAGCTGTCAGAAAGGGCTAATGAGAAATTTAGATGATTTTAGCTAGGTTGTCTACAGTTCCCTATTTAATTAAAGGTTAGTACGCCCTCAGGTGCTACTGCCAACCTATTCTGAGACCTTAGCAATTGCAAGTCTTTGATGCTGATGGAGACTTTTCATGCCCTTTGGATTTATTTCCATTCTCTTATAACATCATGGCTTTTTGCTCTTTCTTCTGGTGTTATCAGAACACCAGATACTTGCTCTGTCAAGTATCAGGCAGTGGGTCTGGAGACCTGTTTCATCCTTTTAGAGAGTCACGATATGGCCCTGAGAGTAATTAGTTTCCAAAAAGATCTTGGCCTGTAAAACCAAATTTTCTGGATGACAGCTATTTAGCTTCCTCAGGAAGTACCTGGGTCAAGAGACTGAGTTCAAGGGATCTTTTTGCTGTTAACACTTCCCATGTCTTTCCCCAAGCAAAGTAAATGTGTTCAAATGGGTACTCCTTAACAATTCCCTGTGAGTATGCCTAAGTTGTTAGGTTGTATGTGAAACTTTAAATGAATACAAAACAGAATTGTTAAGACCCGGGATGCCAAGAGCCTTGAACTCATTCACCAGCTAGTTTCCTATATAGGGTAGGATCACTCAGGCTTCATGATGTTTATTGGCCCTCGCTGAAGTAAAAGGGACAACTATTAATGGCTTGAAATATTATAAACTTGGCAAAGAAGTAATTTTGAATGTCATAGCTTTCCATAGTTCCCTCTTAAATAATTTTCTATCCATTTCATCATATAAAACCTTTTTATTAAGGTATAATTTGCATGCAGTAAAATATGCAAACCTTAAGTATACACCTTGATGATTTTTAATATTTATATACACCCATGTAATCACCACCATATTTCTTGACCTCTCACTAACAGTTTTGATTCTTCTTGGACTTCATGCAAATGGCATTATGTAGTATGTAATCTTTTTGTCTGGTTTGTGTCACTCAAAATGTTTTTGATATTTATCTATGTTGGTGTATATCTCAGCATTTAGTTCTTTTTATTGTAGTGCAGTATTCCATTATATGAATATACCAGAATTTATATATACTCTTTTATAAATAAACACTTGGGTTATTCTAGTTTGGGGCTATTACAAGTAAAGCTACTGTGCACATTCTTATACCAGTCTTTTTGTGGAAATATGCACTCATTTCTCTTGGACATATTCTTTGGAGTAGCATTTCTGAGTCTTAAGTAGGCAGATGTTTATTTTCATTACTGCCCAACAATTTTCCACAGCAGTGTACTCTTTCACCCTCCCACCAGCAATGTGTGGAAGTTATGGTTGTTGTACATCCTCACCAACACTCGGTATTTTCATTTCAGACATTCTGGTGAATGTGTAGTGGTATCTTACTGTGATTTTAATTTACATTTCCCTGATGAGTAGTGATATTATTTGTATTTTAATATGTTTAATGAACATTTGGAAATCTTCTTTGTGTTATGCCCATTTAGATATTTATCCAGTTTTTCTTTTATGTATTGTGTTTTAGGGGTTCTTTATATATTCTAGACATGAGTGTTTTGTGTGTGTGTGTTGTGTGTGTATATATATATGTATGTATGTATTATAAAGTGAATATTTTCTCCCAGACAGTAGTTTGTACTTTCTGTTTACTTTTAATATGGTGGTAACTGTAAGAACCCCTAAAGTGTGTGTCTTTGTGTGTTTGTCAAGGGACAATTGTTAGTGGAAAATGAAGATAAGAGAAATAATGAAGCAATGGAATTAGGTAGGAGAAAAGAAAAAGGGGTGTGGCCAGATAAATGGGAAAAAACAACAAAAAAAATGGGTGAAGTGTGTACAGTAGAGAAGTAAACACAAAGCAAGAAGCAGACCTGCTTGATAAGGGGAAAGTGGGTAACAATAACGACACTTAACCTGCAGGGCAATTTTATATGGAGAAAAGGACAGTTGATCCCTCAAACGCTAGATGGTGGTAGACAGGACTTCTAGGCACTAAGGGGGCAGAGAAGGAAAAGCTGAGAATGAAATGACAGCACATCTGTGGTGGCTGAAAGCAGGGTAGTAAGCGGCGAAGAGTGGGCGCAGGTGGTCTGAATTTGAGGCCTGCCTCACCACTTCCTAACTATATCACCTTGGAAATTTTCTTAGCCACTCTAAGTTTCTAGTTTTACAGGGGCAAAAGTAGGAATAATTGTCACCTACCTCATGGGTTTGTTATAAAGATAAAATACTTAGCATTGTTTGGA